AATTGAGTGAATTGAGTGAATTGAGTGAATTGAGTGAATTGAGTGAATTGAGTGAATTGAGTGGATTGAGTGGATTGAGTGGATTGAGTGGATTGAGTGGATTGAGTGAATTAAGTAGTTAATTACTCTCTATCTAAATCTATGTAACAAAAGGAGATTATATACATAATACCACTCCAAAGGAGTAAAAGAATGTCCTATCTAACCATGTAAGAATTATATATATATTAGTCCTTGGATTACAAGATTATGAAGTTAGCATCAAGTAATTATCCTTTTTAGATAATCCAACAAGCTCATGCATGCAGTGACCCTTTAGATAATTCAGTGGATCAGGTAAGTACCCCACGCGACACGAATGAATATATCAGGGTACTGGAGGAGCAGTTCGGCGTTCGTGGCTGGTGTGAGACAATAACGCGCATGATCCAAAATATATAATAAAGGTTTGCATCGGTAAATTTGTTTACACCGCTGCTTTAAAATAGCCAGCTTTAGCGCGGATGGTAAAGTCGTTGCAGTCTGCTGTAGCAAAGGTTATAGTGTTCGATACAAGAAGAAGAAGTAACCTTTGCTAGAGTATTCCCAATGCCAAGATCAGTTGATGCTAAAGTTACAAAATTCAATAGACACTTCCCACAAAAACTACAAGATCCAACCTCTTCTAACTTTAAGCAACTTCGACAGCCCTGTCTTATTCCGCCATTTGTGTAGGTTTGTGTTACTCTGCGTAAATATTTCCGACTCCAGCTTACCCAAATATAAGAGAAAGCCCAAAACAAAAGTTTTGTAATGCTCTAGTATCAAGGGGGATATGATCTAGAGCCCAGAGTTCTGACCAAGCTTGGTAGCATAACTTGCTGCATTGGATTTGTGCATTTTGCACACGTGTGGCAAGTGAGATACCAGCCCTTGGATAAAGAGGCCGCTCACATTCACGATTTGTCAAGACGATCATGAGAGGATCAAAGAAGTTCGAGATAATAGCTACAATATCAATTGGGTTGCCGTCACAGAAGAAGAGTTCCAATTGACGTTTTACAAGGACAATCTGTGCGAGGTCTATCAGATGGTAGGCTTGGGGGACGTGGTAACATCTATATGGAAGATTGTCAGATATTGAATTATATCACCGTCTTACGCGTAATTTTTACGTGTACATCTTCGACAGTTTCTGACAATCCTCGATTAAACAGAGAATAACAGGCGAAAGAGACCTCGTAAATAAATCTCGCAGCGTGTTGATTGCGGCGCAGCTTCCACCAATATTCAGTACATATGCCAAGCATCCAATTTGCCTGGAACCTGGCCGCTTGTAAGCAGTATAGCGCACTAAAAGTTGAGAACTGCTCTTACAGGATTAATCCACATATTTAGGGATAGGGGCAGTGTTGGTATTGCTTGAATGAGAATGCGTGCGCAAAAGGGGATGTAAAGCCTGGCACGTGATACGCCGCTAAGGGGGTTTC